TTTACTATATTCCACTGCAGAATGTATCCTTTCAGTACCGCCCGCATCTTTCCATTCCTACTCCCTGATGTATAAAAGTGCCGTGTTGGACCAGCAGTTGGCATAACGGCTATGTTGCTGGACTCCCATGTAGTCGACCGCAGTTCGAGTCCCGGACCCGGTGGACTAAACTCACGCTGGTCTCATACGTGTGTGTGCCCAAGATCCTGAGAGGAGAATGGAGGAGAAGGGATAGTGGTGTGGCTATCCCCTCTGGAGGGTGATTTCTCACTTTCTGTAGCTGTTTCTCTCTGTCTTTCTGGTTAGTGCATGCACCCTATAGCAAAAAATCCTCTCAAAAAAAAAAAAAAAAGTGCAGTGTCTGGAGTCAGATAATCAGTCATTAAATAAGCTATCTGTGATACAGCATTTAAATTTTACCCCCGGTTTCTTTTGTAACATAAACATAGTAATGACACTAATTTCTTAAGATTGAATAATATTTTTAATATACTATAAAGCAGTGTACCATGCTGACAAATAACTTCTTAATTCATATTTTGTCACTCAAAGGTAAACAAAACACAGCAGATATTTCATTTGTTAATCAAGATGAAATTATCAAAAGTTTCTTTTCGTGAAGCATCCTCTAGTAGGAAGACAACTGCATTTCACAGATGCCCAGTTCTCTACCTTTTGTGACAGTCACTATCATCCCTTCATTGAAAAAGTTCCAGAGGGGAAAAAAACATGCAGCCAGCACGGTGCATAGATGGGACCACCATCTGGGAGGTTTGATGCCACATGGCAGGCCTGGGTTCAGTTCCCGGGCCAACCCGAATACGCAGGAGAGATTGTGCGTGACTATAATCCTGGCTAGCTGGGAAGACCATGGCACACCAAGATGCTGCCAAAGATGCCTCTGTGTGTGTGTGTGTGTGTGTGTGTGTGTGTACATGTATCGAGGGATCGGAGGACAGATTATAACCTATAAAAGAGCGTTAGAAGTACACTTCAATGGATTCAAACAGATAAGGGTTTTGTTTATGTCCAAGTTCAAAGAACTCATAAACATTTGCGGTGACTCAAAGAAAGAGACTAAGAATTTTTAAAATGACTCTTTCCTTGACTACTATTGGAACAAAGCCTAAAGTACTGAGTCAAAGAGTAAATATCTAGATATGAAAGAGCTGGCCTAAATCCACTTGGCTCAAATAATAGTAAACTAATGGTCTTTCTCTTAAGAATAACTGATAATGTGTATAAACAGAACATACTGTAGCCATTATCTTAGAGAAAAATGAAAGTGAAGTAGTATTAAGACACTGCCTCCAAGTTGCACTGTTAATATTTATGAAAAAGAATATTGGGACCAGCAGTTAGCATAATGGCTATGTCGCTGGACTCCCACGTAGTCGACCGCGGTTCGAGTCCCGGACCCAGTGGCTTAAACTCACGCCAGGTGCGTGTGCGTGCGTGCCCAAGATCCCAAGAGGAGAATGGAGGAGAAGGGATTGCGGCATGGCCATGCCCCCTGGGGGTGATTTCCTGCTTTCTATCTCTCTGTCCCTCCCTGTCTGTCTGGCGAGCGCACGCACCCTATAGCAAAAACCTCTCCAAAAAAAAAAAAAAAGAATATTTACGAAAAAGGTGCTTATTTTACTCAATGGGTAGATTATGTAATAAAATTCATGATCTGAAAACAAAACACTGTGTCATGCAGAGTGTGTTACTGGAGACCATCATTATGGTTGGTGGCACTGTTACGGAGTGCGTGCCTCTTGGAGCCGATTAACTTCTTGGGAAGAAGTGCCTTTGTTGGTTGTTGTCATCTTACAAATGTACACTGGTGACCACAATGTGAATGGCCAAGGGTCATTTGCTACTGCCCATAGAAAAAGAAAGAACTTAAATCCCATGGCCTCAATATATAGAATAAATGTATCAGCCTTCATATACCAACAATGATGACACTGCAGAAAATCATGTGAAGGGGACAGGAGAAGAATCATCGCAGATAATCTTCCTCCCTTCCATGTTGTGAATCGATAGTGAAACTGCTCAAAATGGTCACATTTGCACTCTACTAAATTTTGGACATATGAACTCGGAAGCACCAGAATAATGTGCACATAATTCAAGAGTTAATTCAGATGTGGTGGGAAAATGCTTTGCATCATTGGGAAGAAGTTTTACCCTTGTTGCTTATTAAACCGTGAAACAAAAGAAAATAGTGTTTAGAGACTCTGTTATATTTCCTGCTAAAATTCAGTTCATTAAACAATATTTCTTTTTATCATGAACTAAGGCAATTCATTCAAAAACATTGAAATTTGGCAATTTGGGAAAATGTAATGTCAGCAAAGGTAAGAAGCCTATGAAAATCATCTGCAGTATTTTATGATTCCAGGTTAAACATTGCAAGAGAAACTAGCCTGATGACTGCGGTAGAGTGGGGATTCCCAGATTTATCTAAAAGCATTTGCTAGAAATATAGATCCAAATTCTTTCATTTGATCCAGGAGAATCCTATTAATGTTTGAAAATCCCTGATATATGTGTAGTTGTCAAAAAAAATTTTAAATAAGTTATAGGATACATCTCCTTAGTGTTGATTTCTTATTCTAAAAGTCTAAGATGAAAAGATTGCATTTAACTTGAGATAATGGGCCAATAAAGGAATTATTATAGTACTGTAAATCACAGAACTACAAGGAATTTGTTACAAAATAAGTGATAAAAGATATGTTGGAAGACAACCATAAGAATTATCAATAATACTTTGGGGAAAAGTACAGGCATCCAGCTATTAGAGATATAAAAAATATATTTATGTAGCTTTCCCACTTAATGAAAACTTCTCTGGAGCCTATATATAAAAGTGATTTAGCACATGTCTCTTGCAAATGCGAAACAAAATTGTCAAAACAGAGCTAGTATTGCCTTGTAATTGGTGTTGATTTTAATATGGAGTGTGTCATTGGAGACCGTCATTGATGGTTGGTGGCACTGTCACTGAGTGTATCTCTTTTGGAGCCAATTAACTTCGTTAGCTAGATGTGCCTATTGAGCTATTGAAATCTTTTGATCAGTACTGGCGGACAACTCAATGGAATTATAAGTAAAAGAATGATCACTCTCTTCAATGGAGCAAACAAATAGAGTCATTTATTATATAGCATCAAGCCAATATATTTTCATATATCATAGAGAATAAACAGATTTGCTGAAGAGAATAAACACATTTCATATATTGTAGAGAATAAATAGAATATATGCAACACAGAAAAGTGAAGAGAATTTCCCACAATTGAAGGTGCATGCTGAGTGGTAAAACTAATCAATGGATCAATCAACTATTTTTAGTAGAGCCTACTGTGGACTAGGCATTTACTAAGTGCCAAGAACACAAAGATAAACCAGACATGGTCCCAAATCTCAAGTACCAGTTCCTTAGGAGGATCTCATGGTATCTAACCTAGAGCAAAGTAAGCTTTTAAATGAATAATGAGTAACAGTACAAAAGAAAAGGGTGCTCAAAATAAACATCTTCTCCTCTCTCAATGACATCAGTAACCTTGTTATTTTACTATAAAACTATATTTATTGCCTTATAAATCTCAAAGTATTAAAATTTAAAAATTAATTATAAACTTTTTAAATGTAAAATTTGATTTGATCAAGCTTGTTTTTAAATAGATATGTATCTATATAGTAATTATTTAATGATGAATCATCTTTATATCCAGTAGATAATAATATAACATAATAAATGGTTCATTGACTTAAAACATCATCCTTGACCATTCAGACAATTTAGTTTCTTAAACAATTAAACATTTATTCGACTTAAGTAAAGTCGAGTAAAAGCTATGAGGGGACCAGCAGCCATTCAGCTGTAAGAATGGTAGACATGATTGGCAGTTTAGTGTAATTAGATACCCATCTACTGACACTGGCCATATGGCAGGATTATTTAAAAATATTGCAAGGAATTGCTTCTATGAGTAAATTCCATTTCTCTGTGAGAACGAGGTGTAACTTAATAACAAGTGTCATGCACATTCAGCTCTACAGAACTTTTTTTTACACCAGTAATGTTTTAGGTTATGTGCTGAAGTTTTAGAAGATTTTCAAAGATTGAATCAAAGGTTACCAACTCTCTTCTGTTTCGTTTTCAAGAAACAACAGATGATTTTCTCCCAATGAAGTTTTAAGTATACAACAAAGGGTGACAATTTAGGTTTAACAGCTTGGGTCATTTTTATACATCTTCATGGAAAGTAATTTTTGTAAACTTTAGGATTCTGGTCTCAGGCAAAGGTATAGTTATGCATTCTGAGTATACTACAAGTATTACAGATTTTCCAAGAGTTAATACACTCAGGACAATAAACCAAACACAAGAACCATATAGAGGAAGAAAAATTTCTCTTTTCCCATCAATTATAAGTCCCAAATCTTACAATGCATGTTAATCTTCATATAAAAATCAATGATATTTATACTGGATGGGCACGGAATTGCAGAAACTGTGGTTGCTACTGTGACAGTGAAGATGACTTTTAGCATTTTTTAATTTATTAATTTATATTCAAGTAAAACATAACACTAATATCACATCATCTCAATATATTCTTTACATGTGGATTAATATTAGAATAACATTTTATATACTTTTAAAAAACACAAAGGAAATGAGAGCAAGAACAGGTACGTGTGTCACATCATTAAATATAAATGTCTAGAAGAAGTGAATCATTTCAACTAGAAATAGATACTTGTTGGGACCAGCAATTGGCATAATGGCTATGTTGCTGGATTCCCATGTAGTCAACCGTGATTTGAGTCCCGAACCAGGTGGCTTAAACTCACACCGGGTGCATGTGAGTGCACACCCGATATTTCCAGAGGAGAATGAAGGAGAAGGGATTGTGGTGTAGCCATTCCCCCTGAGGGATTGATTTCTCACTTTCTGTCTCTGTCATTCTGGTGAGCGCATGTGCCCTATAGATATTCTGAAACAAATAAGGCTATTCTATTTGCTCATATTCCTGACTCTTGAATGATGTGGCACTTTAGGGCTTAGGATAAGAACCACAGGCAATGACCAAGTAAACTATAGAAAGCTGAGCTGATCTATCACCAAAGGACTGAACCTAATCAGTCTTTGAAATTCAGCCTGGAAAAGGCACACTGTGGCTGATATCTTGAGAACTCCCTCTTTACCAGATAGAGAAAAATGTGAAGTTGATTATGATTTTTCAAATAACCAAACCATTTTCATGATCCTTCTAGTTAAGGTTTTAGTTTTGTAGAACTGCTACAAATATGATAACTGCTTGGTGACAGAAAACAATTTAGAAGGGAAAAAAAGAGATTGCTAAAAAATCGCTATTACCGATGTTAATGAATACAGAAAATATTCTCCTAAAGTAGGTAATAAGTTTGAGTGTCTTGTTAAAAAACACATATTTCTTTTATTCTTTCCCATTAACATCTGGAGAGACCAACAAAGAAAATACATTTTATAAATCAGAGTATAATATAAATAATACTGACTACTCATTGCAACTCTATATCTGTAAGATATTTATCAGACTTAAAGTTACAAAAAACAAGCTGTTGATTGTCTACTTTAAGTAGCTAATGCGTTTTAATACAATCTGGTATTCTTAAAGGTAAATTGGCTTGTTAATTAGAAAAGTATCAGTAATGAATATATTAATCACTAATATCTTAGAAAACTTTAAAAAATAGGAAAATGACATGTCAACATTTTTCTTGTGTGAAAACTTGTCAAAGACATCACTTTATGAAGGGCAAGCTGATGACCCATTAATAGGTGATGAGTGAATTATTCTAGATAACACTTAAAATTTTTAAGCACTCTTTACATGTCTGCACGAACAAAAGAAGCAAATATTCCATCTTCCCGAGCCAAAAGGCTTTCTGGAGTGTCATATTCTAGAATATTTCCTCGTTTCATCACAATAACCAGGTCTGCCGTCAGAATAGTGTGAACCCGATGCTATGAGCAAAAAGAATACATGTATTAGTTCACATTTCAGGGCACAGATCCAAACAGTGGGATATGTACATTTCACAGATAAAACTCAGGGGCATTTATTTATCTTGGCATGCCAGGAGATTCAGGAAACACAGCTCTCTTTTAAGTTAAAGAATCATTCATTTACAAACTTGTAAATCTCATCTGGAATGGCTGGACTAACTGGTATATGAGCTGTATTAACCTGAGTGTAACTAATGGGTCAGTGTCATAATTTTCTTGGAACCCTAAGTATAATAAGCCAATAAGTGTCAGATAACTGAATACAGAGGAGAGCCAATGCGAGCGAGTGGGTTTATGATTTAGTCTCAACTACAACGATCTCTTGTGTGAGTTAGTTAATTCCATGGGCTAATACACAATTTGAAGAACACCGGAGGGTGGCTTAATTCTGGGAAGACAATACTGAGAAGTCCATTCTGGCATGCAGTATTGGAGTGGGTTATCCAGGACTTAACCATGCAGTCTTTTAGTCTTTGGAGATCACTGCCACGCACTTGTTCCCTTTTCACATGGAGCCCATTGGGGAGACGCTATGATGTCAGTGACTAATAATAATAAAAGCTTTTACGTACTGAGCGTGTGCTACACGTTAAATGCTCTACACACATATCTATGAATCATGGGAACAATGATAGCTGTGATTGCTATTTCTCACCATTTTGTAGGGGAAATCTTTGGTGTTCATAGAGATAATGCAGACAAGAAGCAGAACTAGCATAAAAACCAGATTTACTAACTTCAAAATGCGAGATAATTTCATTCTGTCATTTAACTGCTGCATAACAAGTATTTTTTTTTAAGAGGGATGTTCGCCTGCCATCATTAGTGTTATAGTGAGACTGCAGGTTCTGAAGTTAGACTGGGGTGAGATGTCCAATATTTTGGCTTCAGCACCTGTTAGTTATGCAAAATTGAGCAATACACTTTACTTTGTATACTTCTAGTTTATCTGTGTTATTTTATTTTAATAATAATACCCGCTCAGAGAGTTGTTGGTGAGGAGCAAATGAGATAATCCATGCAAAATAATTCAGTACCTTGTCTAACACATATAGACAATAAGTGCTGGGTATTATACACACACACACACACACACACACACACACACACACACGTGTATATATATATAATTTAGAAGGGAAAAAATCAGTGTGGCAAATCTTTTCTGTATCATTGCAATCCAAGAGAAATACAATATAAGCCACGAGTGTGAGCCACATGTAGTTTTAAATATTTTGGAGCTACATTTTAAAGTAGAAATAAACAGGTGAAAGCCAGTTCAATAACACATTTTACCAACTTTATCCAAAATGCTATTATTTCAACATGTTACCAATATAAAAGTTATTCATTATGTATTTTACATTTTTTTTTTTGAGAGATTTTGGTATAGGGCACATGCATTCACCTAGAGACATAGAGAAACAGACAGAAAGTGAGAAATTACCCTGAAGGGGGATGGCCACATCTCAATTCTTTCTCCTTTATTGTCCTCTCAGGATTTGGGGCATACACACCCACACGCCTGGTGTGAGTTTCAAGCCAATGGGTCTGAGACTCCAGCCCCTTGCCTACTATGCCACCTACTGGATCTCTACATTCTTCTATTAGTCTTTGAATACTAAAAAGTCTCCATAAGCCTTTGAAGTCCAGTATATGTTTTACACTTAAAGCACTTCTGAATTTGGTCTATACACATTTCAGGTGCTCAATAGTGACTCAGAGTTACCATGCAAAACATGGACTATGCAGGTCAAAGCATTAGCATGCAGATGGGAGTTCCTTTCCAGAGTTCCAAACCCAGAGATATTATCGAGTTAGCTGATACACAATCTTCCAAAGTGTCTTCTATCCTAATAATCCAACAACCAATCTAAAGCCATTCCCAGAGGTAAAAGCCTGTATTCTACTGTAGGCCATGCAAATGGGGTTAGTTTTAATGTTTGTGATTTGAGAAAAGCAAGCACATATATGACTCACTCCTACAGGGTAAAAACATGTAGATGGGGTGTAATAACAGAATATGTGCCACTTCAAGCCTGTCATTCGCTGAATATTGGTAACAAATGATATAGACTTTTGGATTAACAACATTTAGAGGATAATGTCTATTCATCTTTGCACAATCCTGAACTTAGAAAATAAAACCCTAAATTGAATAAACTCTTTAGTATCTTTTACATATCTTTCCTCCAGAAAATATAGTCCTTTAGTAACCATTTCATAGATGTTTAAAAAAGAATTTGACTTCTAAGTCTATATTTATAATACTATCAACATTGCCTTGATAGTCTGATGTTTACTAGAAAGAAAATAAAAATGATGAAAAGTTTGAGCCAACAGAAATAAATAAATGCTTATTCTATTAATGCAAGTTATTTTTTTCGTGATAAACTGCAGTGCTAATTGTAATAGTGTTTGGTGAAATTTTCCAAATGTTCTAGATAAATTAATCTAATCAAGAATGAAGACTAAATCATTTTTATAAATAAATAGCCTGGACTATTGCGGTATGTGAGAGTTTCATTTTAGAAGCTAGAGAAGTTATCTTTTTAAGATATCCCCCAATGTCTGTGGCAGTTAACCAAAGTAACAGGACAACTTTGAGGCAGGGAAGGAAAAATAGTTATTCTTAGATCATCCTGCAAGGAGACTACCACATGTGGCAGTGCTCTCTCTTTTATGAGCCTGTTAAAAAGTTAGTCCTCAGAAGGATCTTACAGTGATTTATCCTTCTCAAGGATTTTATTTATATGGGGGAAATTCCTAGGTATCCCAGCAGTCACCTTCATGCTAATGGTTTTGAAATGAAGAATGGGTGAAAGATCCGTAAGTCTATGGCCAAGTATTCAGTGACTGTAGGACAACAGAAATCAGGTAAGGGACTGTGTATTTGTTAAAAATACAAATTATGCTCAAATAATCTTTTGAATCGGGACTAAATGGGGCCACGTGACACCATGCTTCATGCAGAGTACAGAACTTGTCGTCTGAGTAAGTAAGGATCTGTTTTCTCCTCCTCCCACACCCATTTAGGGGCAACAGGAAGTTGTTTCTCTCCCAAAATATCTCCCCATCATCTCCAAGGAGAAAATTCTTAAAAATATAGTGAACTAATTTTCAAGTTAGCCAATTCTCTCACCCGTTAAACCTTTCACACCTCAGGGTGAATGAGTTAATCAGGTGACCCTCCTCCAGGCCAGAGGAACCACAGTTTGCTGTACAGTGAGAGTAGGTGGGTTTTCTATACTTAGGCACGGTTTGGAGAAAGTAAGCATGATGGGGAGTCATTTCCTGCCATCTTGAAAAAGCTTCTCTTCAAAGAGTGCTTTTTCTTCCATGGTCATTCACAAATAGGAAGCACAGCAAGCACTCCACACACAGCTCCCATCACTCCACAGTTAAACAGAAGTTGATATTTAAATTAAAGAACACATTCTTCAGGGCAGGTAGGAATGTGAACAAAGTGGCCCCAATTGGTCCTTAGTTTAGAGGTGAGTTTGGCTCTCTGGTTTCATACACATGCTCTCTTGTTCACACCTATTTGAAAACATGTGCATGTCCCTACTGGGTATTGAGCATAACTGAAGCACTGTTGAGATGACTGGTGCAGTGATACCCTGCAGTTAGTTCCCTCACCCGTACACTCCCCTTTAATCAGTGTTAGCCTTGCCTTACTGAGGGGATACAGCTGGGATAACTACCGGAGACTGGGATACTTGGCAGAGTAGATAGCGATGGTCTACTTGTTGGTCATCACCAAAGTGGAAAAGAGGCCATTTTTGAGGGCGAGCAAATTTGCAACAGTATCACACTCCACTAAAATACCCTCAGAAAAGACTAAAACAAGGCCCGCATCCAGAATAGAGGAGACACGGTGCTAGAGAGAAAAACAGAAAGAAGAGAAGAGAATCAGCAGAAGAGAAACCGTTCAAGTGACCCATTAAAAGATAGTATTCTGTTAAGTAGTAAGCTTTCGTGTGAGCAAGAACCATTTATCTGTAAAGAGGGAGTGACAGAAAGCCATGGCCTAGTTTGAATAAACTGTAACATGAATTATAAAGGTGTGAGCAATTCCCTTGATTGGTACTATCTAAAACAGAGCAATTACCTGCCCCTGCTGTGAGGTTGCTTATTGTTTCCTTTTTAAAAAACAGAAAAATAAGTAGAAACAGAAAAATTAAGTATAAATGGTAGCAGAAGTGGCAACTGAACTTGGGAATTTTGTTTCTGAAACTGCTCATCAGATCATTAGATTATAAAAAACAGAATTATTCTGTTCAAACTACCTGTATCTGGTGAATAAGAACAGGTGTAACCTGCTAGAATTCTTAGATTTCAGACGCCCAATTATTTTAACTTAGGAAAGTTAAGCAAAGCAGAGAACTTGGAAAAGAACAATGTTTTCAAAATATAACTGTATATTTTTTCCTTCTTGCACTGATTCAGAAACATTAGCATAGAAACACGTGCTTCAGCACAAGTGTATTTTGATTGATGCAGCATAAAGACTGTAAAATCTTAGATAAAAACCAAAGAGGAATTCATCAACTCCATCACTCATACTTACTGCAATTGTAACAACAGTGCGATCTGCAAAGGCTGTCATTACTACTTTCTGCAAGATGTTTTCCTGCCAAAATATAAATGAATCATGTAAATTTTCTCTGAACTACTTTGTCTTGCCATCATGTTTTGTACTCACGTCCAATCCCGGTCCTGAACCTGTAGGAGGTATAAGAGCAGACTCTTCCTGGCAGCAGGGTCACAGGGGATTCTGCAGGTGTCTTCAAAATGCAAATGAGACTCAGTGGTCAGTCAGAAGTGACTGACAGATTTAGTAGCAGAGAAAAGAACGTAATCAAATGGGCATCCAAAGGCTCATGTAAGTTATATACCACTAAAGCATGTATTCCAAACCAGCCCCCCAAAATAGTGTTAATCTTTGTGTCAGAAAAGGAAAAAAAACTGAAATCCATACCAAAAATTTTGGATTTTTGACCCATACAAGAACATCCTAGGCAAGAACCATTTTTATTCCCATTAAAAACCACTGTTATTATATCAGTATTTTAGTTTGCTGTGGGGCGCGTGTGCTTGCCAGAGAGAGGGAAGATGAGAAAGTACTCCCCCACCCTCCCAGGGGGACGGCCATGCTGTAATTGCTTCTCCATTCTCCCGTTGAAATCTTAGGCAAGCGCACACACACGTACCCTACATGGTTTTCAAGCCTCCAGGTCTGGGACTCAAACTGCACAGTTAGGCAAGTGGGATCCAGTCACCTTAACAACTGCACCACCGATTGGCCCTCTCATTATGTTTTAAAAGATATTCTGCATAAAGAACTTCTCTCTTAGAGGGAAGCTTGATTATCTAAGTCTTCTTTTTATATATATACATTCAATCACTGTTTATCATTACAGCTTGCAAAATGAATTTTTCTAGCATGGATATTATCATACATATTATCATTAAGAGTTAATTTTCCATTTTTGGGTCCCTTAAATGTTTTGGTTCTTTCTTTTTCCTTGTGATTCCCTTCCTCTCACACTCCCCTATTTCCCAACCTTCCCCCGAACTGCCTCTAGAATCCACAGTTGTTCTTCATGCTTTTATATCTTTGAGTCTTTCAGTTTCTTCCATAGAGTGCAGATATTTGGTATATATTGAGTAGGGAGATACAACGCCCCTCTTTCATAGTCTGCCTTGCTTTGCTTAGCAGTAAATCTTCCATATTCATCCAATTTCTTCCAATCAAGCAGCTAACTTCCACTTAATTTATATTTTTTCTTTCACTCTCCCTCTCCTCTCTTTGAGGCAGTATTATCCTGATAATAACTTCTAATATTATACAATCTTAGTTAATATTATTTTGATGTTTTTATGCTAACTTAATAAGATGGCTTGATCAGAGACTATTTTACTAGTTTAAATTATGTTTAACTTTAAGGAGGTTGTATAACTTTGTATAGGTATTTTCATTAGTTAACATAATAGGAAAAATGATGTCAAATTAGCATCTCCATATATAATCATCTATTATATTCTTGAGACTATTTGATTTTCTTAGGTAGTTTTACCAGTTTGAAGTTTGTAGCAAGAAGACAACATGAGGTTGTGGGTGATTTTTATCTTTGTCTTTTCTGATGCCAAATTTTCACAATCAAGGTAACTTCTAAAAGAACCATATTAATTGCTAGCTCACACACAGTTTGTAGTTTAATGCAATACATTTCCCACTTAATTACAAGCTTCCAGACAGATCTTTCTTGGACACAGATGATAGTTTTAAATGATTTCTTTCAAAAAGCAAAATTTCCAGTCCAGGTCATAGCACAGTGGTAATGCAACAGGGTCCACATGGAAAATATCTTGGGTTTGCATCTCAGAACCTCTCTGAGCATGTGATATAAAGATCCTGTTGGGGATTCCTCTCTCTTTGTCTCTCTCTCTCTCTCTCATGGGAGAAATTAGTAAATAAAGTTGAAAAAAGGTAAAGCTTCTGACTTTGAATTAATTAATTAATGGTGGTAATTTATTATGATTATACAAATCTTTTTTTAAGAATTATTTTATTTAACTTTATTATTTATTCATTTGTTTATTTCAATTTGACTAGAGAGGGACAGAGTGAGCGAGCAAGAGAGAGAAAGTGAGAAAGCAAGTCATCAGGTCCAGAACTTGAACTGCTGTCGGCCATGTGGGAATCAAGTGCCTTTAACCACCACACCACCTGCTGGCTCCCAATATACAACTCTTTTTTTAAAAAAAATTATTTGCCATGGGGTACATGTGCTTGCCAAAGAGAGACAGAGAGACAGGGAGAGAGAAAGCAAGGAAGCATCCTCCAGGATGGATGGCCATACCACAGTTCCTTCTCCAATCTCCTCTTGGGACTCTGGGCTCACATGCACACACACCTGGCATGTCTCTCAAATCACAGGGTCTAGGACTCAAACCAACCTGTCAGCCATGTGGGATCCAGCTACCTTAACCACCATGCCATGCCACCTAGCTGGCCTGGGAAAGGCATTATTAATTCTAATTAATTATTGATTCTTGAGAATCCTTTTTGTTCCAAATGCTTTAAAAATAATCATTGGTTTTGGTTACCACTAGCTTCTTCCAGAGATTTGCATACTGCAATTTAAAACTCCAGCGGCATAATACTTAAATACAGCACAGCACTCTCATCAACTGAGCCCTAGGATTTATTGTTTTGAAAATATATCAAAAGTGATGGAACTGATCTCACATACAAGATATTCATGCTGAGAAAATTCATTTTCAATGTTGTAAAGGTAGACAGTGAATATAAAAAATAAAAAATACCATAGACATTGGCTCATTTATTTAATTCTCAATATGCTGTCATCAGTTGATCAAGATGATTCAGGAATCACTAAAAACAATCCCACTGAAGATTCAGAACCCAGTCAGGTAAAAAAAAAAAAAAAATGCTTATTTGATGACTGCAGTAAGCTATATAGCTCCAGCTAGGTGTTACTTTATAGTATGTTCATTCTACTCACTGAGGTTTATGCCTAAAGTCAGACTTGTGTTCATGTATATGTATATATCAGCTGTGCTTGCTATTGGAAATATTTAGACTAATTAAGTTCATTAGCAAATCAATTAAATGGGGAAAAGGCATAGAAAGCAACCATGTATACCAGAGACAGTGTGGGAGTTGGGTGGGATATGGCGGACGGTGAGGGATAGGGAATCAAGGATGGCAAAAAAAAAAAAAGCGAACAAGGAGGGAAAAAAAAAAAAAAAAAAGCGAAATATACAGGAAATAAATGGAAAATTATTTGTTGATAAAAAGTATGTTGATGTGCTTGATTGAGCCAATATATACAGTGTATTCTGGATGGGAAACTCATTTTGCATGCTGTAATGATGTATAGTGAATGAATGCAAATAAATAAATTTAAATTAAAAAAATAAACCCAATCAGGAAAATTTAAACTCTCATTTCCACACACATTTCTTCAACCTATCGATTTTAAAAGCTTAGATGATGCACTCACTGTGGCCATGTCAATGGAGGCTGTGGCTTCATCCATGATGAGAATGCTGCTCTTACGGACAAAGGCCCTAGCAAGGCAAAACAGCTGTCTCTGTCCAACACTAAAATTCTCTCCACCTTCGGTGACAACTGCATCTGAATCAGAGAAAGAGCAAAGATTCCACTAAAGAAATGCTACTATTAATAACATCTTCCTTGGACAAAGTGGTGAAAAGCATGTTATATAGTTTAATGGGATGCTAAGTATTGCTTTGTGCTTGTTTAAGCAAGGAGTTCTTACTGGTAGGCCAAAGAAGAGCTTTATGTTGGGAGAATAAAGGTGATTCTAGGTCATCTTGGTTTGATAATAGCTGGTGAACTACTTCCTGTCAGTAGGATATAAAACAGTGCTAAACATTTTGAAGACTGAGAGACATTGGAGATTATTTAATTATTTAATATAATTCTCTAAGATTATTTAATACAATTATCTAAGACCCAGAGGGATGAAGTAGCTTGCCCAAGGTCACATTTGGCTGATTTGTAGTAGAGCTTGATAAGAAGTGAATACTCTCAACTGCAATTCCAGCTCTGTTTCCATTATACCATCATGCTAGACTATAAGTTCTAAATTAGCTATATATTCAGTCCCTAGAACAATGAATAAAACAGAGAAAGCACTGAATTTATACTTGATGCATGAATTAATGAGTGAGTGGTGTAAGATGACATCATTAGTTAATGGGTTTGTTTTTGTTCATCAGTATATCTTCAGTACCATGGTATCTGACATAGACACTGTTGTGTGAGTAAGTGAATTATATGTCACCATCCTTTCCCTTTTATTTTTGTTCCCATCTACATTTCATAAACTGTACTATTAAGATGAATTCTGCTTCCAAAACATATTTTATTAGAATTCAAACACTTTTTAGTAAGCTCTTGAGAGAAATTTCTATTGATTATTATTTGCACTGCATCAGATTTTTAAATTTTTCAGCCTTGGAAGCTATAAATTTCCCTGCAAGTCTTAATCTATTTAATAAGTGAAAAGAATGTTGGGTATGATGATTGTTCTTCACCACATTGGGCCTGAACCAGCTCTTCATTAAGTGATTGGTATAATCTTAATTAAAAGGATGAGCACAATGCTCAGTCACTTACACTGCTGCTTACACTGTACCCTAACCCCCAAACACTATGCCCACAGCTCATAGCAGGTGCATGCAACTCTCACATTAACGAAGAGGACTATTAAGATTTTTTTTTTGAGAGATTTTTTGGAGGGTGCATCTGCTTGACAGAGAGAAACAGAGAGACAGAAAGCGAGAAATCACCCCCCAAGGGATGGTCATGCCGCAATTCCTTCTCCTCTATTCTCCTCTTGGAATTTTGGGCACAAACACACACACCTGGCATGAGTTTCAAGCAACCAGGTCTGGGACTTGAACTGTAGTCGACTACGTGAGAGTTCAGCGACATAACCATTACACCATCTGGTGGTCCCAATAGGACTATTAAGAAACAATTGCCTGTCTCTCCTACTATCAATGGTGGGGGAGGAGAGAACACTTGGGAGAGAAAGGTCTATATGCCAGGAAAGAAAGTTCTTTAAGCATGTACTCATTTCTCAAATAGACTTGCTAGGCTCCCCATAGGAGTCCTCAAAAATTATGAGGAGGTTCATCCTGAGCTCTGAAATCACTCCCACAACACACTACTGACAAAATCAATCAAATCCATAAAGAAATTCAATCTTAATTTTTGTATGTGTCAAGGCTCCGCCTTGGAAATAATTAAAATAATAAAAATGCATTCTATGTGAGCAGGTCTTCCCTTCCAAATGAACAAATAAACATGGTTTTATTTTGTAGTTGATATTTTAAAACTAGATTATAAAACAGCACAATAAATTCAGCAACTACACATTGTATATTAAAATTAAATTATGAACAAACTATTATCTTTCTTTTGCTTTCTTAAGAGAATTCAGAGGAAGTTTAAGTCCAAAAATACAGACGCTCCTTTTTATAAATTAAAGACAATATGAACTCTCTGTTATCTCATTAATCATGTTATTCTTCTATTCTGTCATCATTTATTTGTCAGACATTGTACTACCTCAGGGACTAACTTATTATCAGTGACTAACTACATGTTTTGTTCCTGATTCAAGTGACCAAAACCGATACTGCAACTGGAAATACAAAATAATGTCTTCAAAGAAAATGGAAATTGTGTTATACAAATAAAAGGAATATGGCCTCCTGGCAGCAAGGAAAATGGATTTTGCTACAAAGAACTGGCTGTCTTCTAGATGGTGCTGAGAAGCCTCTGTTGAGAGACTAACAGCCTCTGCCATTCTCTTATCCATTTCCTAAGTGGAAGCGATCATGTAGCTCACCGGGCAGAAATGGCCACAGGGAAACATTCCAGTGAAAGTGATCCGCACCCATCAATGGTGAGAAGAGTAAAGAGATCAATGTATAAACTGGATTTCTTTGAAATATTTACAAGGAATATGGGACCAGCAGATGGTGTAATGGCTATGTTGCTGGGCTCCCGTGTAATTGACCATGGTTCAAGTCCCAGACCCAGTAGCTTAAACTTATGACGGGCACATGTGCATGTGTGCATGCTCAAGATCCTGAGAAGAGAATGGAGGAGAAGGGACTGCAGAATAGCCATCCCCCTTGGTGGGATGATTTCTCGCTTTCTGTCTCTCTGTCTCTCTCTGTCTTTCTGGTGAGTGCACGTGCCCTATAGCAAAAACTTCTCAAAAAAACAAAAAGAGAGAAATATTTACAATAAACATTCTTTTTTTTTTTTAATTGCCAGAGGGGGCATACACTCTTCAGAGAAAGACAGACAGACAGAGAGAGGGAGAGGGAAAAAGCGCCCTGTGATGGAGTGCAGTCATGCTGCAACCCCTTCTTGATTCCTCATTCTGTTAGGATTTGGGGTACACGTACATGTGTGCCCAGTGAGCTTTCCAAGCTCCCAGAGGAGGGATTTGAACTGTGCTGTCAACCATGTGGGATCTGACCACTAGGCCATGGGGACCAGCTCAGAGTAGAATTTCTTATAAGGTCATCCTCCTGCACCCCAAGAAAAATCATTACATTTTTGAACTGTTCTTTAGGGAGGTTATTTTAAAATAAGGGGATTTAGTCCCATTCAGGTGGCACCGGTGGTAGGGCACCACTGGGTGACACTGGAGTCACATGGGAAGCCTGAGTTTTAGTCCCTGAACAAGACAGGCACACCTAGGCATGCCTGTTGATCCAGGCTTGCTGGGAGGGTTGGGAGGTCCCACAGTGGCAGGATCACGGCCCGGCAATACCCAGTCAAAGGTACCTGTCTTTCCCTCTCTTTCTCATGAAAGCAATAAACTAATAAATAAAAGAGAAGCATGTAGAATTACATGATTTAACAAAAAAATAAAGATAGAGATATGTAGCATTAGTCACATGCTAAAAAATAAGTGTATTTTGAAAGTATACCTAGACCTCCTGGTAGAGATTTGACCATATTCTTCAGCTGAGCAATTTCGAGAGCCTCCCAGAGTCTATCATCTGTGCATTTGCACTCTGGATCTAAATTAAATCTGTAGGAAAAGATCAGTGAATTAGCCAATAAATAAAAATATAAGAACTTTTAGGTATATTTACTTATGGCTTTTTTTCCCCTTAAAATATCATTCCATTTGTTTTGGTTGCTGCTGTATATTCAGCACCTAGAACAATGCTTAGGACAGAGCAAGCACTGAATTCATGCGTGTTGTATGAATGAATGAGTGAAGGATGTAACATGACATCATTGATTAAGTATGTATAAAAGACATGATGTGATCATTTTTAGTCCTTGGATCCATCCACTCCATATTATACTTAGAATAATGTGAATAATGTCTAGAAAAATCGGCCTGCAGAGCTGCTGCTAATCAAGACGTGTAGGTAAGAACAGGTAATGCTCTTTTAGGGGAGGTGAGCTGCTGCGCTAACCACCATGTAGTGCCAAATAACTTGATACAGGCACTGCTTGTTTTTGTTTGTTTTGGTTATAAGGTGTGTGCACTCACCAGAAAAAAGAGAGAAAAAGAAGGAAAATGAGAAAGCACCCCTTAGGGGAGATGGCCACACTGAAATCCATTCTCCACTCTCTTGGGATTTTAGGCATGCACGCACATGCATCATGGTGTATTTTTTCAAGCTGCAGGGTCCAGGACTTACTTGAACCATGCAGTTGGCTATGTGGATCCAGCCACCTTAATCACCATGTCACCTGGCTGTTCCCATAGAGAAATTATAATTAAAGTAACTTTACAGGTGATATTGAGTGACATTGCATACATTTACTCTTCAAGATAAAGGGTAATTAGTCAAATGAGGTGGCAAACACCTTTTTGTGATTAAGCAGATAGAAGATGGAGCAGGAGAGAGAAAAAGATGGATGAGACAAGACGTAGCCTGGTAGATGCTGCCAAAGTGGCCTAGGGAAGCAGATGAACTTAAACTGGAATCACAGTTCTACCACTTACTAGTGTATGAACTAAGGTAACTTATAGCTTCTTTGAGTTTCAAAATCCTCATCTGTAAAATGAGAATAGCAAAATGTATCCTAGAGCAATGCTCTGAGAGCTGAATCAGATAGGACGTTTACAGCACCATGTCCCACCAGAAGATTCTTTCTCCTTCTCTGTCTCTCTCTGGCAAATGCATCAGGCAATAATAATAATAATAATTCACTGCTCCTAAGCACAAAGGAAAAAGTAGCTTTCACAGAATTAAGCTGAGAGCAAAGAGTTTGTGAAGACCCAAGGATTCACTTCTATAGGTTAATTCAGCACCTTTATGGTCCCCCAGAACAAATCATGTTGGTCAGTTCTTTGATCTTACCATCATGATAATGTTATTTCACTCCTACTTGAAAAGCCATTTTCAGGGTTAAATCTTCCTCGGAGCTGAAGGGTGAACCTGAGGCACACCAATTTCTGTTGAATATGTCACCTACCTAATAGAACCGCTGAACAGGATTGGATCCTGCAGAATGATTGAAAGTCTGGAACGTAGCGTGTGCAGTGGTAATTTAGAAATGTCTATTCCATCAATGACAATCTTTCCTATTAAGGAAAAATAAAAGTTACTGGCATCTAATAAAAGCACAATTAAAATAATATTAGTTTACAAGGTGGCAGTTCTTTCTGAATTCGGAATTGAAATTTAGAAGATGATGCTTTCAATTGAAGTATGAAAATGGTCATTATGTGACTCTAAGAATATAGACATTTTGGTGATAATTTGTCTTTCTTACATATTTCTCCTGAAGGAACTTTTAGTTTTTATTCAGTGTATGCAGTCAGACAAATCAAAAGGGCTTTTATCCTTTATTAAGTCCTCTCTCTTCTAGTATTCTGTATCATTCTGTCCTGCTTTATTTTTCTTTATAAGATTTACCACAATTTGACATTCTACATATATTTTTCTTGACTAAAATATCAGCTTCTTCTTTTAAAAAAAATTTTTTTTAGAGAGAGAGATTTTTGCTATAGGTACATATGCTCGCTGAGGAGACAGAGAAAGAAAAGTGAGAAATCATTCCCCAGGGAAGGTGGCCACACTGCAATCCCTTCTACTCAATTCTCCTCTTGGGATTTTGGGCATACATACACACACTCCTTAGAGAGTTTCAAGTCGCCAGGTCTGGGACTTGAACCATGGTCAACTATGTGGGAGTCCTGCACCTTAACCACTACACCACCTGCTGGCTTCCTGCTACAAGGATTTTTTTTACTGTCACTCAGCCCTATATTGACTGACAAGCAGAATGCATTATAAATAGAAAAGTAAACTCTATGATATAAATATCAACTTTTAATAAATTTCCCCATACTATATGTAGGCTTATGGTGATGTGTATATCTTAGTGCTCTGTCCTCAACTCAATAGATCAATCTTATCACTTTTGTGATACAACTGCCTTAAAATGCAAACCCCACTGAAAGTCCTTGAAGTATCTGTGCATTACAAGCCAAGGAAATAACAAGTTATCAACCCAGGAATAGATGCTTTCCCTGTTTCTGAATCTAAAACACGAAGAAATTGAATGCCCATAGCTCAGCTTTGTGGTTCATAAACTGGCCTGTTTAATCTCACTGAGCAGTTGCCTACATTGAATTAAATAATATAAACTATTCAATACACTAAAAATAGAAAGTCATTATAATCAGTACAGATAATAATAGTAAGTACTTCCTTGAGCTGGTGGGCAAGTTCGTTGCTGGGTATCCTTTTCTTTGAGATGGCTTATGTGCTGCTTTATTTTAAGGCCACCTGATAGACTAAATAATGTGGCACATTTTCTAAAATGAAGATTAAATTATTTCCCAGCTCTTATGTATCATATTATTTATAATTTTGAAGATGAATAAATATTTTTATACATCGTTAACATGAGCTTGGTACTTCATAGAGAAGGTTGGCCTTTCATAAAATGTTGGTCATTAAATCATGTTATAGACATGATGGTAAGAGTGATGTACCAAAATTAAAAATGCAATTATTTATCTCATTGTAATTTTTTTCCTTTGGTGAAAAGAGATTTTTAGTGTGATGAAACCAAAGCAGTCTTTCTTGCTTTTGTAAAATACCACCTCCACACCTTCATCTACAGCTTTCAAAGTAGGTGGCCTTGTTTTTATTTTATTAGAAAACTTTAGTATTAATATCTAGATCTGAGCTTAGAATTACTCATTTTATTTTCCCAGATATATTTTTGTTTGTTTGTTCATTTGTTTTTACTCTGGGCTGTTTATTTGGGATACCTGCCTTAAATTACATGAAGGCACAAAGTCTTTATAAATATATATTTTTATTTTTTATGTCTAGAGAATTAGGTAAATTGATTTCTTTCAAAAGGAAAGCACCACATATCCAAAAAAAAATTTTTTTAGCTGACAACTCACCATCGAATATATCAACCATTCTGAAGAAAGCCAGTGATAAAGATGATTTCCCACTGCCAGTGCGGCCACATATGCCCACCTGTAAAAGCAACTATCACTCAGACAGAAGAAGACTCAGACAAAAGACATAAAATGGGAGGGAACTTTTTTTTTTTTTTTTTGAGAGATTTTCGCTATAGGGCGCGTGCGCTCGCCAGACAGACAGAGAGAGACATAAAGACAGAAAACGAGAAATCAACCCCCAGGGTGATGGTCACGCTGCAATCCCTTCTTCTCCATTCTCTCGGGATCTTGGGCATGCATGCACACGCGCCCGGCGTGAGTTTTAAGCCACCGGGTCCGGGACGTGAACCGCAGTCGACTACGTGGGAGTCCAGCGACATAGCCATTACGCTAACTGCTGGTTCCCAGGAGGGAACATTTTTAACTTAGACAAGATTTCATGATAGAGCAATTCTATTTTAACATTTACATTACAACCATGAATTATCATTATTAATACTAAAAACATGGAATCCTCATTGAGTTTTCAATGATTCCATTCTAACTCTTTCTTTTTCCATATGGTAGTGTTGAATTTCCTTCATGGCTTAATTTTTGCATTTTTGTATATTGTTGGACTAACTAATAACTATTCCATTTATCTTAGAAGCGATGGTTTTATAACAAGAAATAGAATGAGAACTTTATTTCCTGTATACCTATTCTTTTTACAATAACTTCAAAAAGTCCTTCTGGGACTAGAGGTGTATGAATGCAAGGTTTTCAAGGGGATGTCTGAGAGGGTCGTGAGCCTGAGGCCAGAAATTTTTTTTTTTAATTTGTATTTTTTTTTTTGAGAGGTTTTTTGCTATAGGGTGCATGCACTCGCCAGAAAGACAGAAAGAAACAGATAAAAAGTGATAAATCCCTCCCCCCCCCAATGGGGATGGCCATGCCACAATCCCATCTTCTCCATTCTCCTCTCGGGACCTTGGACACACAAGCACACTCTTCCAGCGTGAGTTTAAGTCACTGGGTCTGGGACTCGAACCGCGGTCGACTACATGGGAGTCCAGTGACATAGCCATTACGCCAACTACTGGTCCTGAAGCCGGAAATTTTTAAAAACATGCCTATTGTTGATATGACGATGATGAGAGACTAATGGATGGCAATATGACTTAAGAGGGCATGTATTCTATTCTGGTATTATCTCTCCTTCTCCTCTTTCATGAAGACCACTTCACCTGCACCACTCAGGGAATATTATAAGAGAATAATGGGAATATAATCACTTGGCTGGGATGTCTCAAGAGCCGAAGTGGCAATGAAGTGGGCTCCTTCAGAGATTTTAAACATAAAGCAAATTAAAAAGCAGTGAAATTCTTACCTTTTGACCAGGTTTGATGTAAGCTTTGACATGTTTAAGAACTGGCTTTAGATTATTTTCATATCTGACACACAGATCATGAATCTTGATTTCCCCTTCCTGTGGCCAGTGTTCTGGAACTTGAGAAGGATCTAGGGAGTGAGATGGGGTGATACATAGATAGATCATAGGTAGGTAGAGAAAGATGCAGAAAGAAAATTAGAGATGGGGAAAATTTATTTCAAATACAGATACAAGGAAAAAAAAATGAAATGAAAGCATAGCACATCTGTGTGGCCAGAGTTAATGCTGAGCAGGTGGATGATGAGAAGGGAGACTAGTTGGATGGATAAAGATTGACTAATTTGGGAGGCAACTATGTTATCTGGATTTTGTTCTTGAAGATCTAGATAGTGGTTGAAGGATTTAGGCAAAGGAAAGCATTTTGAGCTTGAGATTTGCACTTAATAAAGATGATTATTTCCTCAATATTGAATTTCTTGCCAGTTTTACTGTTAACAAAGCTATAATCTCAGTCAGTAACTTAAAATCCAGGTTTTTTTCTTTTAAAATTTATTTTATTATTAATTTTAAAACTTGCTATGAGGTACATGTGCTTACCAGAGCAAGAAGAGGGAGAAGTGGGGGAGAGAAAGTAAGAAAGCAAGCTACCAGATCCAAGACTTGAACCACAGTTGGCCATGTGGGAGTCCAGCGACTTAACCACCACGCCACCTGTGAGTCCCCAAAATCCAGGTTTATTAATAGCTAAGTTAACAAGGTTGTGAGAAAGAAAATGCAATAGTTCCTAGTTTAGGTCGGCAATTATTGCAATAAAGCCCAAATATTTTTATAACTCTCTTTAAATAATATTAAATAATGTCAACTTGGGCTCTGATTGTATTCAAGAATTTCCAGGCCTCCTTAGTCACATATTTTTAGGTTGTACATAATCAGGCAAAATCAAGATGAAAAGGAATTCTTTGTAGATTGAAGAAGTAGAAAACAAGAGTAAAAAGGACTATGTGTCTAACATACAACCAGTATTTGTCAAAAATAAAAATTTTAGTGAAACCAGATATTCAGAACAATACCCATGGTGCCTTCATAGTTCTCAGATTCCATAGTCAAGAAACTGTTCACTTTCTTCACGGCACCCATCTGAACCTCCAGGTCAGCCAAGTTCCTCACAACCCAGTTCAAATAATTGGTTATCTGTGTCAGGTGACAAAAAAGTAACACATTGAAAATTAAAGTTAATAGTTTTCATAATTGCTTGTTGTACATTGGGATAGGATAACTTGGCTAGTGTATATTGTATAGTATAATTCGTAAGCGTTGCAGGACATCAGAGGCCAGGGAGAGGGTCATGACATACATGGTGTCTGCTTTTCTTCAAGGGTTTCTAGATGTTTTGTGAATTATCTTTCAATTTCTCTGCACATTGGACAGTTGTAAATGTTATGGTTTGTATTTATTTAAATTTTATTCATTATTGTCTCATTCTTATTTACATCCATTTTATTGTCCCCAACTGGGTTGTGATTGACCGAGTACAGGGATCCCAAACAGCCTTGGGAGCACTTTAGCCATGGGATTTGAGAAGTTTCTAAAAATTGGTTGATAATGTCAGAAAGGAATCCAAGCTGACCTAACATGCTGGATTTGGGTCCAATCTACTATTATTTGCAAGATGCCATGTGTTAAAACATCTGTGAATAATAGATTGATGATAACTATTGAAAAATACCTCCCACATACATGAAAGGAGAGAGAGTTTCATCTATACTTACCGTAAGTGCATATAGAAGACCCAAGCCCACCAATCCAGAATTAGGAGAGCCACTGCTAATGGATGCAATAGATGCAGTGAGGACAATGCAAGCTCCCAGGTAATCCTAAAAAGGAGCAAGAAAACATGCTAAAAGGTGATTCCCAAAATCTCAATCAACTTAAAGAGCTGATCACTAAGAGAATAGACATCAGTCTATGTGGGTCCTGTTAAGTTTCAGAGGGAAGAATAACTCTCAATATCAGGACTGGAATGGAGAATGGTGCAATGCCTCATTCCCGTATGAAGACAGGAGTTCAGAGTAAATATCTTGCCATAAGGTAAGTTGCAATTGATGGCAGGATTGGATGCGGGGCTCTCTTTCTTTTTTTCCCCTTTCTACTGCCTTGTTTTGCCAGAAAAACAAGTGATCCTCTAGCTGGAATTTCATGTGTTCTGTTAGCACTGTGGTTAGCTCCTCTGTGTGCTATAGCAAGCAGCATTTTACATACTCTTTTTTTGTCTTTTTTTTTTTTTTTTTGGAGGGGTTATTTTTTGCTATAGGGCGTGTGCACTCACCAGAAAGACAGAGAGAGAGACAGAGAGATAGAAAGTGAGAAATCACCCCCCCCCCAGGGGGGATGGCCGCACTGCAATCCCTTCTCCTCGATTCTCCTCTCGGGATCTTGGGCACGCACACACACGTGCCCGGCATGAGTTTAAGCCACTGGGTCTGGGACTTGAACCATGGTTGACTACATGGGAGTCCAGTGACATAGCCATTATACTAACTGCTGGTCCCTACATACTCTTCTTATAAATAAGAATAAGTTATGAATTTGCTGGCAAACTATCGATGTCTTAAAGTATTTTAAACTGTCTTCAAGTATCTGAATTGTCTATGATTCAATAATAAATTCTTTTGCAAAATTTAAAAAATGTTATCAGGGCCGGCATAGATTCAAACGAGAGGTAGGGAGCCCCTGTCCATTTTCTAACATCCTCTTCCTTACCCATTTCCAAGCATTCTTAGGTACTGTTCTGTGTTAGTATTCAAAAAAGAAATCCTCAAAACTTTTCGTGCTGATGTTTTCCATGTCCCATAAATAAGTGGAATTTCAGTCAGGGGACTTTTCTAGGATTATTTCAAATCTCATTGCATTGGTGAATTCTTTCTCTGCTAGATATATTTCTGATTCTTAAAAATTATAGCAACTAGGCAGTAAACTCTAATGACAGAAATGGAGTGTTCAACATGCTGAAATCAAAGGAGGAAGTTTCTCAAATCAGCTCATCTGTGTGCATTCCTCCCTTTTATCAAAACAACTCCAGGACCAGCTCATGGATTAGTGGTTAAGGGAGTTGGATCCCATGTGGATAACTGTGGGAATCAAGACCCGGATATGACAACTTCAGAAACATGCTGAGTGTGTATGTGTGTGTGCCCAAAATCCTGAAAGGAGGGAGACATTGAGAAGGGGTTGTAGCATGACTGTTTCCATGGGAGGTGATTTCTCACTTTCCTCTTCTTCCTCCTGGGAGCGTGTGCACCTCTGCAACATCAAGAACAAGGAAAACGAAAACAAAAACAGCTCCCAAGATCAAATTGGTGAAGAGCAATCAATGATCGGCCTTGGAATCAGAACCTGGGTTCAAACGCTGGCTTTGCCAATTACTAGCTAGTGAGCTTAGACAAGTAATTGAAAGCCCCCTGAGATTCAATTTCTTCTTTGAAAAACAAGTGATATCTAATTCTAGGGATTTTGAAAGGAGCAACAATGTTAAATACCGGTCAGATTTCCCTCTCTTGGTGTGTTAGGATATCTTTTTTATTCCCTTGAATGAATTTCAAATGTTTGAAATAAGCTTAAACATTCATGTACATCATAAAACATCTACGTGCATACAGAAGAGAGAGTAAAATTAAATTCCAGATCGATTATCAGGATGTTTACAAAGAATAAAGACTAAAATCACAGAGAGTTAATCCCATGAAGCAATAAAGTCCACAGGGTAGTCAATACATCTTTGATCAGTTCTTCCGCTGTATCCATTTGTGCACAACTTATTCTATCAGATAGTTCTGCTTTTCTCCTTTACTTGAATAATGAATAACTGCATGGCTGAAGAATCTCACTACCCTGGGATGATCCTCTTTGGTTTATAAGTAGCAATGTGCTCTCAAATATTTCTGAAATATTTATAGCAATGTGAATTTTTTTCCTTTTAGCTCTCTTTTGTAAAGTTAACACTTTTGAAGTTATGGTATACATTTATTATTTACATATTATCTTTTCTAAAAAGAGTCATAAAGAGTTCCTGTGAAAAGATACAGAAAGTAAATTAGTACCAGAGGATACCTCCAGCAAGGTGTTCTTGGCTTGTTATAAAGAAATATGTCATTTGGCATCTGAGAAATTTCTGTGGGTAATGTATACATTACGGGTTTGAAGTAAAGGACATCTTTTATTAATTGTTATCCTCTGCTTCCTGTCAACTAACTTCACTGGAAAGAGAAGCCGCATTCATTCATGCACGCATGCTTTTTTTTTTTTTTTTTTTTGGAGGGTTTTTTGCTATAGGGCATGTGGGGCTCGCCAGAAAGACAGAGAGAGACAGAGAAACAGAAAGTGAGAAATCAGCCCCCATGGGGGATGGCCAGGCCACAATCCCTTCTCCTCCATTCTCCTCTCAGGATCTTGGGCACGCATGCACATGCACCTGGCTTGAGTTTAAGCCGCTGGCTCCGGGACTTGAACCATGCTTGACAACATGAGAGTCCAACGACATAGCCATTACCTCAACTGCTGGTCCCTACACATACATTCTTTTTAAAGGGTAAGTCAGATAATATAAATTTATAAATTTATGCATGCCTTTCTATTGTACTTAAAGCAAATTCAAACTCAGATGGATTACAAAGCCTAATTAACATAAAAATCTGGGTTCTATACCCTACCTACTCTTAGATCCTTTTCCTGCTCCTTCATCCTGCTCCCACCACACTGGTCTTTTTTCTGTTCTTGGGAACACCCTGCTTTGTTTCTGCTAATGACTGCCCAAATATTTGTCCACAGGTGTCTAAAACCCAGGTCCTTATCATTTAAGGGTCACCTCAAAAACCACCTCCTTGAAGAGGTCACTTCTTGGCCTGTAACCCTAACTCTGGATCTGTTCTGTATTTCAGAGTCCTGTCTTATTATCATTAAAACATTTAGAATGATCTGAAATGATTTTATATGCTTACTTGTTTATGTGTTCATTGTTTATTTACTCTCACTAGACTCTAAGTTCCATGATCACAGGGTCTTTACCTCAATTTTAATTTCTATTATCTCTAGGAACAAGAATAATCAAGAATAATTCTAAGTACATTGTATAGGTTCAGTAATTCTTTATGGAATAAAGGACTGGGTAAATTCTCCTCTTCATAAAACATTCACTGAGTTTTTCTTCTAAATTAGGACTTCTTCTGACTGCTTCTAGGATTCCAATGACTCATTTAATTCTCCATCAATCTCTTTTTTTCAGATTTTAATAGTTGACCACATAAATACATTACAAGAATGCATTTTTGATAAAGTAGGAAGTCCAACACCAAGTTTTATGGTCATTTTATCACTCAGCGTTGTAATATGACTGTCTCATAAAATTTTTGCTATGTATAAGCATTAGGGATTCTTTGTTTTTCTTAAATGACCTAAGCAATAAACTTCATTATTCAGTTCCAAATTATTATTTTTATTATTTACTATTACAATTGTGGGAGAAAACTCATAAAATGCTGTATTTTTAATAAAAAAGCAGAGATGGGTTAGAAAAAAGCAGATGAATAGGGTTAGAATAGAATAAGGTCACATCTGAGATACTGAAACAACAAAATGACTGGGATTAAATCAATAAAAATTAAGGAGTCAGCTAATATAAATAAATACACATATAATGAAGGAAATTTAAAACATTATGTACTCAGTCCCCCTCCGTTGTTAAATTTAGCATTCTATGGAATCTTTGTATTCTATATTGGAGTCCTGGGATACGTTAGACTATTTCCTATTCACCTAAAATGGTAATTCCAGGACCAGCAGATCACGTAATGGTTACGTCACTGGACTCCCATATGGCCCATCATGGTTTGAGTCCTGGACTTAGGGGCTTGAAACACACTGTGCATGTGTATGTATGTGTGCCCAAAATCTCAAGAGGAGACTGGAGGTGAAGGGATTGTGGCATGGCCATCCTGCCTGGGGAGGGTGGGGGGTAATTTCTCACTTTCTGTCTCATTGTCACTCCGCATCTCAAGTGAGTGCATGCACCCTATACCAAAAATTTCTTTTAAAAATGATAATTCTAGTGGTACTAGTAGTTGGTATAATGGCTATGTCACTGGACACCCATGTAGTTGACCACGTTTTGAGTCCAGGACCCGGTGGCTTAAACTCATGCCGGGTATGTGTGTGTGTGTGCCCAAGATCCTGAGAGGAGAATGGAGGAAAAGGGATTGCAGCGTGGCCATCCCCCCTGGGGGGTGATTTCTCACTTTCTCTCTCTCTGTCTCTCTCTGTCTTTCTGTTGAGCAACATGCCCTATAGCAAAAACTTCTCCAAAAATAAAATAATAATAATAATAAAAAGATAATTCTAGTAATATATGGGTAGTCTTATTCTGGCAAAAAAGAAAACACAAACAAACAAACAAAAAGCGAGACAAGTGAGAACAGATGAAGAAAGAAAAGGGGGAAGGCTAATCAATAAGTCATAGTTGATATATATTTTCTGAACTGCTTTCATGTGGCTAATGTTTTTTACATGGCTTGTGAAGTTCTCAGGATGATCATTAGACATGATTAACAGCAGTCCAATAGTTAAAAAATACTAAGACTTATATGTATAATAATGTAATAAGCATAGTATTTTTGACACTTAAGCAAAAAGAAGGAATAGCTTTTAGATACATTTTATAGCGAAATGTACAGAAAATGAACCCATTTTCTTTTTTTCCTCTGAAGAAAAAATAAAAAAAATTGCCATTAATAACATATGAAACAAAACTCAAAATGCATTCAGAAATTACATTAAGGTATAAGAGGAAACAATCACAGTTTTTTTGGTAAGAGGAAAGTGACTA